TTATCAGTTAGCTCTTCTGTAAGAAGTATGTTATATAGTTCTGTTGCATGGTGAAGGGGTGAGAAAGGTTGAAATATTGGATCCTTTAATCCTATGTGTACTTTGCCTGCATAGAAATCACTATTTATTGATTCAGGTATATTACATATCATTGTTACACTTGGTATAATACCCGTTTTAGTGTAATCATGGTTAGCAACTGCAAATATAGTATTTCTACTAACTACAACTTTCTTTCCTCTTTCAACTGCAGCTACAGGAAATTCAGGCTCCCAACTTTACAATGATGTTTGTTATCCATAAAAACAAGATTTGTAATTTCTCAAAATTTTACAGCAAATTCTTTTTTGTAATGAAATATTGCAGATGCATAATGAGTATCTTGATGGTAAGCATGTAGCTGACGCATTTAGACTATAAATTTTAAAGGTAAATGACTAGTAAATTGTAAACTACTAAGCCGTGTTCAATTCTTAGGCCAAAACTGTAATCTTAACTATTGTGCACTAGGTATTAGTATTCTAGTTGGATATTTCTTTTTAATTTGATGCAAAAGATCATTCACTGATATTGCAGTCTCAAGATGTACTATTGGGTCATGCCTGCATTTATCCACTGCAGTAATGGCATCAGCTGCTTTTCCTTCAAGAAACTGAGCTGCAACTTCCTAGAAAACATCATATTTACTGGGTCTTCCACTATTATACTCATGCAAATCAACTGCTATTTCTGGATCTCTGAGATCTAAAGTAATTCTAACACGCTTATTAACCTTTGCTTGATCCATAGTCTCAGCTGCAGAAATATCACTAGTTAGCATCCTATAAATTGTCTGAAGAGATGAAAGCTTAGCCTTTAGGAGAAGCAATTCACAGGTACGCAAATAGCTTATTCTTATTGCTCGAGTGTGGTAACAGGGTGCATCTTCTTGCAGTTTACTTATGATTCGTTTATTTTCTTGTAAAATCTTCTCTTCATTAGCTTCTTCATTGATTTTCCATATTGAGATTGCATTAAAAGCATTATTCCCTATGTTGAATCGATACTCTCCAATTTTGAAGGAGAATGCACAAGACAAACCTTGTATATAATGCATTCTTTGTCTATAACAAAAAAATATTTATTAGCTTTATATATTAAGAAATTCTAAATTACAATTTTATTATTTGTTTAATTTTTTATATATACATAGGATCTGTTAGAAGAAATTCTTCAAGGTCAATTGGTTTCCAGAGCAGTAAATCGTTAAGTAACTATTCAAGTTAATAATATTTGGATTTGTTTATAAATGTTATCCAGACATTTCTCTTATGAATTTGTACTGTTGTAGCCTGATCGACGATTCTTATAAGAGTTTCTGACACATAATTATTAGCAGTAATTTCATGTTAGCATTGCAAAAATCTTACATAATCCAAGATAGCTACAATAAAACTATCTAGTACATCACGGAGCTAATTGAAATTTTTCTTTAATATCCATGATGAAGTAGCATATGGAGCAAGGGCTTGACAATGTAAATTTAATTCATTTGCATCAAAGTGTTTTTATAAGTGTTTATATGATTCTGGATTTGCGCGGCTAAAAAACTCGAGAAAAAGTTTGGGTATATGATAACTACGATCTTCTAATTTCTTGTGATCATGCATATTGATATAACAAATCATTTCAGTTAAACAGATAACAAATTGCTTTCCTTGTATATCAGCATATGACTGCGTAGACTACCCTCTATCATGATGCTGAATCCAATCAACAATATCATCACGCAAGTTTAGCTTGCGATTTGATTTTTCTAATTGGGAGAAGTTTGGAAAATACAATTTGGTTCGGTGTACATTCTGCATTAGGATCATGAAGTAGTTTTACTGCAGTTCCAAATTTGACTTTACTGTATCTGTTTTGAGCTGATAATACACATGTATTCCTACATTTGTTGTAACTTCTAAAATATTACAGTTAGAGCTAACTTGGATTGTAGCTGCAACCTGTATCTTGTTTATTTCAATACACTCTATTGCTTCCAGATCGATGATATCAATATCATACTCAGAGGATAGTTCTCTAGTTGTAAGTTTTATAAAAAAATCTTTAATAGTCATTTCATAAGGAATTGGATAAATATACTATCCATGTATAACTTTTGACCCTTTAGAAATACGGATATTTGCAATCAGCATGTTTAAAGAGGATTATTATTTTTTGTGAGGTTTGTTATAATTCAGGTGAGTAAATTTAAGTATTTAATCTATTTACGAAAGTTATTTTCTTGTTATTATTTATTTGTAGAATCGAAATTCTGAGAAGCTTTATTAAAGGTCAAGAGATAGAGTTTAAATACATTTCAGTCATCTCACAAACATACTCGAATAAATTTTCTTTTTCACCTCAAGTAAAGTTTAAACTTCAACAATAAGAAAGATAGTATAATTAAAAGATTATTTGAATAAATTTCCTTTTTTACAACTTTAGAGAAATATT